GTTTCGGTAAATCGACAGGACATATCCGAGAAGAAAATTTTAATGGCTTTTGAAGCTGAAAATGAATCTTTTGTATACTTTTTTGCGTAGTCTTAATTTACAATATAATTGCTTAATTCACAATTTAATTGAAATTATATGGAATGAATGTTGTTATACTACATGTTATCGTTACCCTAAGTAAAGCGATATCATCGGTGAAAGATGTACCGAACCCTTCGTGTACGAAAATAGACTGAACCAGATGCCTTGAATGCGGTTTTCGTAGATCTGTTGTTCCCGCAATGACCAAAAACTCCGAAGGGTATGCACTGTAAAGAATATTACAAGGAGCATTTTTTTTATACAGGGTGTTCAGCGTAACGGTCCGCACAATTTTTTAGACACTTTCAGACTCTTCAAGTTGAAAGATGAATATTCATTTATTTTATACAACCTATAACATGCGATGAAAAACATTTTATGAACAAAATATAAAAAATGTTTTTCATAAATAACAGACAACTTAAATTTTTTAAAGAACATATAATTCTTTTCCATAATATTGTAGGGGTCTTCAAGGTGAATTTAACTCGACCATCGAGGAAGTCATTTTTATTGATGTTTTGATGATTTTATTGATATCAGACATGCAACATTTGTAACAGCAGCACATACATCTCTGATTAGAAATGTACACAAATGGATATTTATGATATATACATATTATGTATTAATGTAATAAGATATGCAATAAAATCAATAAAACATTAATAAACAAAATTTCGATAGTGATTTAATTTCGTATTGAAAACCTCTATAATATTAAGAAAGAAGTTGTATGGTACTATTTAAAAAATTCAAGATGGCTTTCATTTTTTTATGAAAAAAATTTTTTTAATTTTTTGTCGCATTTTGTAGCCTGCATAAAATAGATAATTAATCTTTCAAATTTTTCTCTTTACTGTCAAAAATGTCTAAAAAATCGTGCGGACCGTTAAGTTAAACATCCTGTATATATATACATATATATAGATGTATAGTTTATTTTTCCGAAGTGTTTCTTGAGATTTTCCTACTTACTCAAATACACAGTGAGCAGCGGTTAGCACGTAATACTTGTCAATTATAACTCCACCGCATAAATGAAAGTTATTTCCAATTTGCAGAGAAACCTGAATTATTAAATGCACACACACACACACACATGTTATGCAGAAGAATATAAAAATTTCTATTAATATACATCTAACCTTACAAATGATATTGTCAGCTTTAAATTGCTGAATGAAAGTAGTTAATTAATTCCTCGACCAAACTCAAAAAATTCAGGATATATTTTTAAACCTAAGCAATTAATAAAATTAAAATTAATAATATTGATCAAGAATGTTTTACTGGCTTACCTGATATGGGATTTCACCTGGATAGGCACGTCTTCCTCCTACAATTCT